TTACTGGAGTTACACAGAAAAATATTAAAAATATGTAACAAAACAGTGCTATGAACTGTGATGTAAGTGACACTACTTCAGTTCAGTTAATTCAGTTCTGTTTATTGTCATACGCTCAAGTGCCATGAAATGCTTATTTGCATGTACACTCCAATAGAAAGACATTAAGGAAACACCAAAAACATAAACTCAGAATAGCAGCAGCAACAACGAGTTAAATAACATAGCACAGCTTAAAAAACATCAGTGTGAGCCAGCTGTAGGGGTAGCGTTCAGTAATCTGACAGTTTGTGGGAAGAAACTGCCTCCGAATCTGGAAGCTCCTGCCTTTATGCTCCTATATAACCCTTACCAGAGGGAAGGGGGGAGAAAATGAGAAACCAGGATGCCTGGTATCCTTAGCCATACTTCCAGCCTTCCTGAGAGCTATAAAAATGTCTGAAATAGAGGGGAGCTGTACCCCAGTGACGGACTGGGCTGACCTGATCACCCCCAGACAACGAGCTGCTGCCAAACCACACTGTAATCCCACATGAGCACACTCTCAATAGCACACCTGTAAAATGTGGTAAGGACAGTTTAAGATAGACCAAATCTTTTCAACAGTCTGAGGAAGTAAAGGCACTGTTGTGTCTTCTTTGTAGCTCCAGTTACATGCTGGGACCATGTTAAATCATTAGTGATGAAGGGAACCACAAACTTGAAGCTGCTACCATCTCAACAGCCACCCCACTGATGTGCATAGGGGTGTGGTCCCCACCCTGCTTTCTAAAATCGATGACCAGCTCCTTGGTTTTGCTGACAGATTATTGTCAAGGCACCACTCCACCAGGTTCCTGAGCTGATCCCTGTAGGCTGCCTTGTCTTTAGCAGTGATTCGGCCAATGATGGTCGTGTCATCAGCATATTTGTAGATGGAATTGGAGCTGTGTCTTTTCACTTTGGGTTTATCTCCTCATCCATCCATTATCAGAGAGATACAGGTGGCTGTGCCAGGATTTGAACCCAGAACCCTGGAGCAGCAGTGTTGAGCTCCACACTAACAGAATACTGGCTCTTGCTTACTCAGAGGTAGTGAGTTCACTGTGCCACCAGGGAGACCAACTACTCATAGCAAGCCAATGATCACACCACAGCTGACTACACAGCGGGTTAATTCCCAACGAACGAGATTTTAGAAAATGTGGTGAGATGATGAGATTCATTCATGTCTGTATGTGATGTGATGTGATTTGGACATGAAAAGGCCTCCCTTGGTGTGAGGCGAAGTGCTCCTGCTTCACAGCCTGGGGGATTCCAGGCCGAGCCGCCGGGGTGGACAGATGGTAATGGGCTGCAGCCCTGCTTACTCTACTTCTGCCAGATGGGGACATCTCTCCAGCACCGCTGCCAGCTCCTCCATGTGCTTTCCGCTGAGGGCATACTCACTCAACCTCAAGAACAAGACAAGACTGGCCATGAGTGAGAATCCCAGTGGACGTATCTCCAGCTAGCTGTTTGACAGAGGCCACAGGTGTAAGAGCACAGACTTACTTCTAATACATCAAAATATTTAGATATAAAAAAGACTTCTGAGTCTTAAATTCTTAGTCTCTTATGCAGGACTTAGTTTGTGACTCTCTTGACATGCTCATTCTTTCTCAATGCATCCCGGAACAGGAAGTTATGTCGCACTTTCCAGCGCTACAGAGCAGGAAGTGACATCACACTTACCTGCAGGTCGTTTGTTCCACTTTTCCCTTGACAAACTGAATGAAGGCGTTTCCCTGGGGTCTGAGGATGCATTCGAAAATAATGAAAATGATTACCGAGAGGCGGGCTTTGAGTGACATCACTTTTAGGACTTTGTAATTTTTCTGTGTTTCTGAAATGTTGGGAACTGGGGCAAATGTAAGTACAATGACAAATTCCTCTACAAAAATCAAAGCATACAAGCGTTCAAAGTTCTTATACAGAATGTTACAGAGATCTGGGGAGGAGTACAGGAAAGAGGAGCTCATCTGCGAGGGAGCTGCAGAACCGGGAATGACGTCAGTGTTGTGGAAGATTTTAGAGATGATTCCTGGAGAAGAAGTGTTGGGAGAACACTTAGAGGAGAGCTGCTGTGTTTTTTCAGTTGTATATTAATTGAATTCTTTTGTGGGGTGATTCGTTTTTCAAAATTGTGAGGTGGGGAGAAGAGGGGGGGGGTGAGTTCTTTAAAGTCAGGCTCAGTAAGGAAAAAAAAATAACTTTGCAGTTTTTGGTTTTCAGAAAACAGGGCTGCGTGTTTGCAGCCAGGCACTAACCTCAGCTCCACAGCTCGGACTCTCTCACAGTTAGCAAGGCTCCTGACCAGCAGCAGAGCCCCGTCTCCTGACAGCACTGCGTTACCCACCCTGGGAGGCACAGAGGACAGGCAGAGTCTTAGACAGCTTCAGCACTGCTGCAACTCAGCTTACGAGACCAGGAATAAAGTGAAACCCACAGAGATCTTAATGGCATCGCTACCCCACAGAGGGACGCTTCAAGGTCCTGATGCTGCAGGCCAAGCAGAAGCTCTAACCTCAACCCTGTCAAAATCTTAAAAAGCTCACCTGTTCTCCAGGTCAATCGAACACAGTTCCTCCATTTCATTAATAATGGGAACTGGAGTCCCAATTTCACAGACTAGTTAATAAACCTTGGTAACAGAAAAGATTAGTTGATGGTATAGAGTTTACAAATGTCAAATTAAGCACAAAATCGTGAAATTTGTGAAAGTACTGTAAGTCGCCTTGCTGTCTCAAACCCCCAGTCTGGCCACAGGCGAGATCGAGAGTCCCGCGAGTGGCGATGTCTTGCGGCCCTTCCTGCTCACTAGTCCACGTAATGTTAACAAGTAAATCAGATTTGTTGGCCAAACCAACTGGAAGTCAAGAGTAATATTTCTATTGGAATAAAAAAAAAAACGTATTCACAAGCCTGTTTGTTTGCAATGTAATAGGGCCACAACACGTCTCCAGAGATTTTGTTGCCTTGTCTGAATTGCAGAACATGGCGCTGCGTGTATCTGGAAATTTCACCTATTTTGTGATTTAAATTGAAGCCTTTACAATTTACTGTGTTCGTTTTACTCTCATTGTAGTGAAATGCACTCATCACAACGCTGAGTCTTTCTAACCCTGAAATCTGAAAATAGTGTTGCAGTTCCTCTTTAACGAGGTGGTGCCAGTGGTGCCATATCTTATTACCCCTCGGAGAGGCAAGTCAGTCAACACTTTCCATCTCAGCGGGTCAGTGTGAAACACTGAGCACACGAACACTGTGGAAAGACATGAACACCCAGTGTGGGCCTCAGCGGACATTTTAAAATGTTTTTTTTATTTACGATAGTGGGAGTTTCTCTTAAAACTAAAGGTGCTATGTCAATGAAGCTGCAAAGGGCTATATATATAATTACTTCAAATTATACTTGGTTTGGCCTGATCATTAGTTTCTAAACCATTTTTGTCACAACTGTAAGTCCCTCCTCTTAAGGGCGCTCTGGCTCTTTCCCATTTTGGTTGATTTTTCTGAACTTGGCCTCCTATTCCAGCCCCTCCCTACATTAGCTAGAGGCTCCTACCATTCTGGGCTCAGCTTTGGGAGATGGACGCCCGGAAGCCCACCTACCAGCGGGTCCAGGAGAGACCCGACAGCATCGGCTTCACCACGGCGTCCTGACCATCTGGGTCCGGGGCTGGGAGCGCCTGGCCCCGTAACCCCTTTTTATTCCCCGTCCCTGCACCGGATCCCGCTCCAGTTTTTAAACTTTTGTCATGTCTGTCTTGGATGGATTATCCGGTTCTGGACTCTTACTTTCACCCTAGGTCTCCCTTGGGCCTGTTCGCCTGGACCACGCCCCCCCAAGCACCAGTGCTCCGTCGAGACGCCCCCCTGTTCGTCTACCAGCCCCGTTCCCAGTCTTCTCCCCCCCCGTGTCTGTTTCACTCCCTTCCGGATTCTACCGTCTGCATAGGGTCCTGATTAACGCTTCGTGACAGTTTTGTTGCTCGCATTGTTTAGCTCTAGCTTTGATTATTTTACTGAGACACATTACAAGTCAATTGAGTTTGCATTTGCAACAACAGGGTGAACGCAGATGGACAGGGTGGTAACCAGGAAACCAGGCCCAGCTCTCCGCAGGTGAAGAGCACCTGAGACAGTCAACTTGGCTTCTTACTTCAGCACTTTCAGCCAGCGCATCTGAGGCAGGTGCTTCACAAGCTTCTCGATGGACGCCTCATCAAGGACATTGTCAGAAAAGCTGGAAAACAGAGGTCAAAGCTGTTGCAACGTGTTGCTTCCTGGCACAGAAGTACAGAGAATTGAAAGTTCGTAGCGAGACTGTGGTTTCTCCACTCCACTGAGGGCAAACCCCTTGTCTGACCCTTGCTCTCCTGGGGCGCTCAGTGTTGACATCCCAGGGTTGCTGTGAGTGAGCTGTGAGGGGGGTGGCGGGCTGTGACTCACTCCAGCTCCGATAAGCCTGGACATCGCGTCAGGCGCCCACACAGCTCCTCCATGATCGCAGGCTGAATGTCGCTGTTGTGGACACTGAAAAACAGGAGGGAGTTTCATTACAAATAACCAGGTGTGTCACATGACATGATGAAACACAACATCTACCAGTGGGACAGAAGAGAATATACATTAGTATTTAGCATTGTTAGTATTAGAACAGTATTAGAATATGCATTAGTATTTAGCAGTGTTAGTATTAGAACAGTATTAGAATATACATTAGTATTTAGCAGTGTTAGTATTAAAACAGTATTTGAATATGCATTAGTATTTAGCAGTGTTAGTATTAGAACAGTATTTGAATATGCATTAGTATTTAACACACTCTCTGTTACGCAAGTGACAGGGTGGTTTCACAGGATTGAACCCTATGCGGAGGCTGGGTGACCGAGTTGTGGTATCTACTCAGGCCGTGAGGTGTAGACAGAGCTGGGGACAAGACCCGGGATTCGTAATCCAAAAAACGTGAGCTTGAGTCCGTAAACCAAAAAGAGCACTAGAACGTAAGACCCAGCAAAGAAGCCGAGACATGATCTAGGAGTCGTAGTCGAGAAGATAAGTTTGAGATCACTAACCAGAATAAGTACTTTTACGAGAGATCCAATGGAGAGCCAATGACGTGATCCAAGAGCCGTAATCAAAAGGTAAGCCATAGTTCAAAACCAGGAAAGACACACAAGGAAAGCGCTAGCAGGAAAGGCGGAGTTGAGGTCACTAGGTAACACCCAACACTGAGCAAGGTAGGCACTGTGGAAAGGGTTTCAGTATTCAGGTGAGGGGAGGCGTGGTGGTAACTCAGAGGTCTGACTGGTTATCTTGTCCTGAGTGAATTACGCTTTTCCCCCGTGGGTGGAGGTGGAAGCTTGCACACGAGACTCTCTGCTGGCGGGAAGCCGGTGCTGTAAGGTACCTCAGTCTCCTGCCCTGGCTCAGTCCGTTCTCCGGTGGGGCCGCCTCCTCAGAGAGGACACCGCTGGCTCTGCTGAAAGGACATGATTGCAGTGTATCAGCACGACAGCAGTACTGCTGTCCTGACAGGAGAGTAAGAACAGCTCCGCCGAATGCAGGGGAGCAGACAACCACGCTCTTTAGTCATAGATGGTACCTTGTACTCCTGCGAAACTCCATCACCAGCCTCTTGCTACCCCCAGCACTGAAAATCAAGCAACATGGAAACATTTAGTATAAAACAAGAGATGCGCAGAAGAAAGGCTTCCTGGAACAGGAGAGGGTGTGGGCACCTGCAGCGCTCACTTCTCCACTTGAAGACGTTTCCTGAGGAGGAGACGTGTGCTGATTCTCAGTATTGCCAGCAACAAACATGACAGGATGCAAAGGAAGTCTGCAGACAATCTGAGCAGTCTTCTTTCCAGGACAGGTGCTGGAGATGACTCAACATACCTGACGTCGACCGCACACATGGTCCTGCAGGTGCGGAGTGAGTCAGCCAGACAGAGCACGCCGTCCAGCGTCACCGCGTTATCGCTGGCACTGCGGGGGGAGCAGAGCAGGTGCTGAATCAATGCTGAGCCCCCCCAAGCTTAGCTCTTAACCGCAGGCGCACGCACCCACAGGGTCCCGGCGAGATCCTGCCTGAACATTTGCATGAACTCACATGACTTCCTGGAGCCCTCGCAGGCCAGGCAGGGCCTCAGTCAGCTTCTTCAGACCTCCGTTCCCCAGCGCGTTTCCAGACAAGCTGCAAAGCCACAGGCAGGAAGAACGCTTAGAGATGCATGTGTGCAGAGAGTGCACATCTCCCTCTGTCCTCACCCCCCATGTGTGCAGAAAGTGCACATCTCCCTCCGTCCTCACCCTGCATGTGTGCAGAGTGCACATCTCCCTCTGTCCTCACCC